TGACTTTGATATGACAGAGTAATATTGTCTGAGGATCGCAAACATCTGGCAGACCTATTCACATTTACAAGATCTGACAAATAAGAAGGTGCCAGACCATTTAAGGACTTAAAAACAAACAGCAACATTTTTAATTCAACTCTGTAACACACTGGCAACCAGTTAAGAGACATTAAAATCGGAGTAATGTGTTCTCGTTTACGAACCCGTTAAAAATATGGCTGCGGCATTTTGATAAAACAAGAGCATGTATGACTCTTTCAAGATCTTTAAAAGATAGAAAACATCTAACTTTAGACAGAAGTTTATGATGGAAAAAACATGACTTAACTACGGAGTTAATATGTTGGTCAAACTTAAGGGAGGAATCAAAAAGAACTCATTTTGAACCATTTGAAGCCGTGACATGGAGGATTGGGGTAGTCCAATATACAAGGAGTTACAATAGTGCAAACGTGATAAAACAAAGGCATGTATGACTCTTTCAAGATCTTTAAAAGATGGAAAAGATCTAACTTTTGACAGAAGTTTAAGATGGAAAAAACATGACTTAACTACTGAGTTAATATGTTGGTCAAACTTTAGGGAGGAATCAAAAAGAACTCCCAAATTTTTCACCGTTGGTTTGATATAAGAGTTTAAATGACCACAGTTAAAATTTGGTTTTCCTTTACCCACAGAGGGTCCAAAGACAATTGCTTCCGTCTTAAATGCAAAAGATGTTTAGACATCGAAGATCTTGCATCAGCTAAGCATGCAAGCAATGTTTCTAAACCATTCTTGTCATTGTGTTTTAAAGGTAAATAGATTTGGGTGTCATCAGCATAAAAATGAAAGGACACTCCATGCTTCCTAAAAATTGAACCTAGTGGAAGCATGTACAGTGAAAACCAGATGGGAGCCAAAATAGAGCCTTGAGGAACACCAGAGGTAAGAGGAGCTACAGATGAAACAGCGCGACCAATACCTACTGAAAACGTTCTGTTACTAAGATAAGATCTGAACCAGCTCAGGGCACTTCCTTGGATGCCCACACACTTTTCAAGGCGTGATAAAAGCATGTCATGATCAACTGTGTCGAATGCTGACCGTTATGCTTTCTCCAATAGTAAGTAATACAGACCCTCTCATCTCCCTATATTAAGACAATCTTGCTATTACTACTAATAGACTCTATGCAAGACTACTTCCGCGTTTCTTCTCAGTTGCTCTGCAAATTCCGGTGCTGCGCCGGAAGCGGTATTTACCGTTTCAATGAGTGCTCTCAGCATGGCATTTTACACTCGCAGCTTGCAAGAACTTCCACGAATTACAGTGAACAATGTCAATCGAATTGTAAGATTAGCATCGGTCACTCCTTCAAGTAAAAAGGAGAAGGGCTTCAAATTGTATATTTCGAGTTATATCGAACGCCTGCTTCCGCGTTTCGTCTCAGTTGCTCCATAACTTCCGGTGCTGCGCCGGAAGCGGTTTTTACCTACCGTTTCGATGAGCGCTTTCAGCATGGCATTTTACACTCGCTGCTTGCAAGAATTTCCACGGATTACAGTGAACGATGTCAAGCGAATTGTAAGATTAGCATCGGTCACTCCTTCAAGTAAAAAGGAGAAGGGCTTCAAATTGTATGTTTCCAGTTATATCGACAACGTTGAAGGTACGTATTCTCAAGCTAACAAGCTAACATTAGCTAGCTTCGTTTGTCACAGTGCATACTCTTATAGTCTGTTTTGTGTTCTGTTTACTTAACCTTTTTAAAATATTCTGTTTTTATACTTTCACTAATGTTATGTTAATACGATCTGTATGACCCTTTTTGTCATTTTTTTCCATTTCTGAAAAGGATCAGGTGACAGGAGAGATCAGCATGAGGGCGACTTGTTTCAGATCTGAGGAAGACAGAGAAGCCACATAGTTTGAGAGTAGGGAGACAAAACTGGAGAAATATAAAAACTCTGTAACTGTAATAATACAACTCTCTAAAATTTTAGCAATAAAAGGTAAATTTGAGATTGGCCTAAAATGCGATAAAACAGTTGTATCCAGATTAGGCTTTTTCAACAGAGGTTTCACCATTGCATGTTTACAAAAAGCTGGAACAAACCCAAAAAGAAGGCTCTTATTTACAATTGCAAGAATCCAGGCCCCAACACTATCAAAAATCAGTTTAAAAAAGTGGGTAGGAACAATATCAAGAGCAGACGTATTATGCTTCAGTTTGACGACAAGATCAGCTCAAATGAATTTAAAAACCTAGTAGGAGTCAGAAGATCTGAAGAGTCATCAGTAAAAGAAATAATGGACTGTCTATTTGCTTCTATTTTTTCCACAAAAAATCTCAAAAAGCTCCTCTAGTTCACAGCTGTACTGAAACTGAGCAGAGCTGGCACAAACCCCCAAGTGAATTTTTCAAGAATTTAAAAAATAATTTATATAAAATGATTGCTTTCCTAACATCATTCCTTGAGGCACACAAACAATGTTTTAAATTCAACTCATTGAAAGATTTTTAAAAGACCTAAAACTTGTGTGTCAGATTAGTGAGATGTCCAAGACATGCATTGTTGGTGGGCCTCCAGGAACAGGTCTGGCAAACACTGGCTCAAACTAAAGTGACCATTAGTATTCCTAGGGAGTCTGGCCAGGTCCTGTCAGTGGGATGGTGGTTCTGGTATCTGCATGACCTAAAGAAAGGAAACTCGCTGATGGCTTAAGGTGCACACTGCAATCAATTGCTTACTTAATGTAGAAGTATAATATAGGATTGTTTAGAATTGTTTACTATGTTGTAAGAAAAATTATGAGGACGATGAAGATCTCGATGAAGATGTTTATTGCAGCATAGCAGTGACAAAGTACATGTAGTATCTTGGGTTCAACGGAGTCAGAATGAACCATGAACATCCTAAGCTCAAACATTTTATACTCTATTACGTTCATCTTCCCGCATGGAAATGAAGTTTCGTCTTAAATGTAAATTGCGGATAACAATGAAAGTGATAGCCTTCCGTTCCCACATCTTTGGTAGTCTTTCAGGTGGAAACAGCCAAATGTTAAGGTGCAATTATATTCAAGTACCCTTTTGGTCAGCAGATGGTTCTTGATGGCCTACTGCCGCTCCCACACTATAGGTGACGATTGACGAAGTAACGTTCAGGAGATACTATTTACATATTATTGAGATTGGAAAGAATTATCTCTATGATAATTAAGCTCTTTGTAGAGAAAGGAGAATAGTTTACTTGGAGTGGAAGTTTGGTTGAGGCAAACTATAATTTCTTACAATGTGGACAAAGGGATAGTTCACAAAAAAAGTCATGGCATTTACTCGCCCTCATGTCATTCCAAACCCATATTACTTTCTTTAACACAAAAACATTTATTAGGCAGAATGACTGCTTCAGTCACCATTTCACTTTCATTGCATCTTTTCTCCATACAATAAAGATAATAGTGACTGAGCCTGTAAAAATGTGCAACTTATTTATGAATACTATTTTTCATTTCAAGAATACCTTGTATAAACCACTGCTCCGGGTGTGTGTTCACGGTGTGTGTGTGTTCACTGCTGTGTGTGTGCACTAAGGATGGGTTAAATGCAGAGCACTAATTCCAAGTATGGGTCACCATACTTGGCCACATGTCACGTCACTTCACTTCACTTAAAGTTGTTACCAGCGACCTGCCTGACCTCTCAGTCCTGCAAGTGGCAGAGGTGTATAAGGACTTTACCAGCACTACAGCCCCTTTAGTCACCACAATGGGGATGTCCAGTGATGATTCGTTGGTAGATTCTGCCTTCGGTAAAGTTCAGGCTGGGAGTGTTCTGTCATACCAACAGCCAGCAGCAACAACACGCAACATTACTCCCCATCAAGATGCCCCACCACGGACACCTCTTCCACTAGATGGTTACAACCTTGACCAATCTGTGTGCGTACATAGCAAACATGGACTACTACTAACATATCTACATGAACATGTACTGTATTATGCAAAGACCAGAAGATTAGTTTTTGGTTTATAATACAGCATCTTATAATAAACTTTTCTCCTCTGCCATGCCCCGGTGCACTTAGGTGTTGAAGTGGAGTAGTTGTTCCACTCAAACAAAGCGGGCACTGCACCTTTCTTCAGTAGCCGGCATCCTGAGGGAGTCGATGGCTTGATCAAATCTTCACTCTTGAAGTGACGACTGCAGACTCTTGTGTTAGGAGTGATATTAAAATCCTCACGTATGGAAACTAACCACAGAATTAAACCTTGAGGATGTGTCACATAACAGGACACAGCAATATATAGACGTTGCACCTTCACGCCGAAGGCACTTAATGCTTCTTGAACTCATTAATAAAACATTATATTTTAATATAATATGCTAAAATGCTATGCTACCACAGTTAATAAAATATATAAAATATTTGTAAATGCTAGTTAATCAAAAATTTGACAAAGACCACGCTATTACCACAGTTTGCTATCGGAGAACGCTAAACCGGAAGCTCGCAAACAACTGAGATTTTAGCGGAAATGCGTAGGCAGTGGGCCGTGCATTGAGTCCATAACAGGGTCAACTATTTATAACACAGACTGAATATGAGAGACAGACCAGGGCAGATGCCAAGCACACGTTATATAACGGTTATGTTTTCTCGAGGACACTTAACAGACATTCCATGGAAATCACTTTATTTTTCAACTACAGTATAGTTTGTTTTGTTACTTCTGCTACGTGACAAAACTGTATGGACAATTTACAAAATATATAAAATGCCTACTTACTACTTTTAGCTACGGAGCACTTACACATACTAGCCAACACCATGTATTTAATAAACTTCAGAGAGCTTGAAAAGTACATGACAAAAAGTGAAGGAAAATCTCAAAGATATCAGCTGCTGAGTTAAACATTACGGCAAAGTAGTTCTAGCTGATAATCAACACTTTTATTTAAACAATATTTTTAAAACTTCAAATTTTAAAAAGGAGCACTCATACTCTCATGTACCCAGAGACAAAGACATAAAAATTTTAAAATTGTGAACACTAGAAGAACTAAATCCTCAAGTGACTTTTTCTTCTTCCAAATGGTCAAAGTTCTGATTAAGATTTCTCCTTAAGAAGCCATGCTTTCTGTCAAGAGGAACCAAAAAACAGAGATATACAGTCATAAAAATTTATGCAGGATATACAGTATAACACTTTACGATGAATCCAAAAGTAGAGACAGTGTCACCTTTTTCTCTGTTCCCTCAGCTTACTTTATTTTGCACCTGCAATAAAAATACCATAAATGTCAGTTTCTTTTTAAGTTTCATGAACTATAATATTATAATATAAAAACTATATATTATATAACTATAATAAAATTGAACATTCTCACCTCTGGCTGCCTCTGTGTCAATACCCACTGGCCTATGAAGTAGGAAAAAGACAACAAAAGAGAAGTCAAAAGGTGGTAATTTCCTGAAGAGCAGAAAAATAAATAGACATTATATTGTGATCTCTGATTATTGATCTAGTCGCATCATTGGAACAAATGCAGTCACGTTATAAAAAATTGTGGCAAAAAGGGTCAGTTGTCTATTGTCAATAGTGTAGCATTGTATCAAGCACAGATCACACAGAAATTGTCAAAGCAAGCAGATTTTTGTTGGTCAACGTGGCGAATCTGTGTGACCAAATCAAACCCGTTGCGAAATATGGATGGTGAAATCTTTTGATCTAATGCAAAATTCCAGATTGCATGAATTCCTGTTAAAATGACTGGATTACCACAGTTTAGCCTAAATATTTTCATCGAACAAAATGCATTACATTTTTCTTTGCTACTTACTTTGACTTGTTCCCTTTGCAGCGGCATTTCCGACCTATTGGAAACAAGCCAGAAGTATGATCAAAACCACTGGTGGTTTATTAAAATATACAAGAGAAAAGCATTCACAAACACATGGTGTTTTAGAGATTGCCTATGTTGCTGTAACACATGATGAAATTAGGTACACAAAAACCAAACTACTGTCACTTGTTGTGATCAAACTCATGGTCTATATAACATCAGGTCAACAGGGTCTCTCGTTAGTAATTTATGAGGGCTGGTGGGGGTTTCAGAGTAAGAGTGTCAAAGGTTAGATTGGCTGCTTTTCTCTGCACTGGTGGAACACCATAAGTCATGGTGCGGTGTTGGTTGTCGTAGAGAGGTTTAAACTTAGAGGTTATGAAAGACACGCTGACCTGCAACCAGTCTACCCTCAGTAACCGATATTTGTATCTGCGCGAGGATACATTCGTAGATGAATATCTACAAAAAATATTCTATACATTTGATGGCAAGTACTATACAAAGGTATAACTCTTTCTGAGAATGGTAGAAAGTTTGACACTCACTGACAATGAGGAAGATCCCCATCAAGAAGAGGATCACAGCAAAGATCATACCACCGATCCTCAGAGATTCATAATCTGGAAAGAGGATTCAGAAGAACATGTACAAATGCAGAAGTGAAGCATGTTTTCATTTTATTAGAATGTTAATAACACATCATTAAAATGGGAAACATTCCACAATAAGCTTAAAATTAGTGCTGTCAAACGATGAATCGCATCCAAAATAAAGGTTTTTGCTTACAGAATATATAGTATGTGTATGTACTGTGTATATTTATGTATATATAAATACGCACACATACATGTATATATTTAAGAAAAATATGTTGTTTATATATTAAATATATTTATATATAATATAAATATATTATGTATACACACGTGTACACACACATAAGTATTTACACATGTAAATACTTTCAAAATATATACATGCATGTGTGTGTGTTTATATATACATAATAAATATACACAGTACACATACATATATTCTGTAAACAAAAACTTTTATTTTGAATGCGATTAATCATTTGATATATATTTAAATATATTTAAAACAAAAAAATGGTTGCATCTGTGGTAAAACAATACCCAAATTACAGATTCACACACACAAAACAGCCCCTTTATTGCAGGTTCTCATGGAATCTGTAGAATCAGAACTCCTTCACAAATTTCTACATCCCATCCATTTGTTTACCATTACTTTGACTCATTGGTTAGGCTTTAAACTTCAGATAAGCGCCTAGTACTACTGTAGTTTCATATAACAAATCTGAACTAAAAATCAGATGTAAATTTGACAAATTTTCCCTAAAATCAGCACAGAAAATGCGAAAGGTTCGGCAGATTCCGTTTGGTCCTGCTTACGAGTGTTAAGGCCAACACAACATGCACAGACAATAATCTGCTAAGCATAATGAAAAAGGCAGAAGAATGACTTTCCTGAGACAGTCTGGAACCACTAAACTGCCATGTGTACTTAGTTGTTTGCTTTCTAATAGGGCTCCGAGTTGTACTTTTAATTGTAAACATGACAGATTATACATATAATCCAAATACGGACAATAAACTAATTGAATAAAAAGTAAATTTGGGAAATTCTAAATTCTGGGGTAGATATCAGATTCTAACTTGTGTGTTCTACAGAAGCTTAGTCCCGGAGTCAATATTTTCCATCTATTTTGGAAAAAGAGAAGGGGAAACGCAAATCACTCTGACTTCCCAGATGTTTCCTGAGAAAGGTGATGCACTTTGGCCCTGAAAGCCCTTCTTAACACAACAGCGCTCAGCATACTATTAGAAACATCAGAGTGCAGCTGTAACCCCCATAATAAAACTACTATGCTCACAATACTTTGAAAAACACAAATTCCTCTGAGTAATCACTATGTTTTGCATACTAGCATTTTTCCCCTTTCAGCTTTATGAAGTCAACCAAGAGATTTCCTTAATCCATATAAGTACGTATACTGCCTAAGCAGCTATAGTCCATCTGTACTCACCATAATGAAATGGCTTGTCGTATTCTGGTGGGAGAAAAAAAAAAAGTAAATATCTAGAGTCAACTCCGTAAAGCTTTAAAAAAAAAATAATAATAAATAAATACTGGTAGCAATCAAAATGTAAAATATTAAGAAAATGTAAGATAATGACAACATTATAGTGCCAGAACATAAAAAGATATTATCTGCAAGCCATTTCTCAAATACAGAATGCTACTGACAAATTGATACTGTATGGAATGTACCAAAAGAGGATAAGAGCTTTCTGACTAGTGACTCCATAAACATTTTTCACACCCACTGTGAACTAAACGCTTATAGTGTCAAACCTATGCTTTTTTAATGCACACAACAATAGACCTGGTCTAGCCTGGCTAAAAACACTGTTAATAAGCCAATAAGACGTTCAGTTAATGTAAAATTAATTCTAGACTAGAAGACACTTACCATGAATTTCATCCATTTGAGAAGCTGAGGGAGAGAAAAAGTGTTACCATTTAAATCTAACCAAGCAAAAATGTCAAATTTATGCCAGCCAAATTATTACAGACAGAGCATTATTAGATTCTAAGTATAAGTGCTTACATATCTGTACAGATACACAGATATGTGTATCTGTGTACACAGATACACATACAGCCATAATAACTCCAAAATATGGCAATATGTTCAAAAAGCATGTGCACAATCATGGAAGACACAAAAGAAATGCTCACACTGTGGCAGCCAACAGCTTCTTTTCAATATGCCAGATCAACTTAAGATGAATTTTAAAAAGCTCAACTATGAGATTTATATTACACAGAAAGGTTATTTTAGGAACTCGTTTCAAAGAACGACCCATTAATTCTAATATTTTGACAAGTTCTTTTCAAAGACTTCTTATTAATATTAAACAGACATTTGGCAGAAATGTTACTTTGAGTCATTTTATGCCACAAATCTATCAGTGGAATGATAATAGACCTACATGTTTTTAAAGAGTCTTTTCAGAGGATCTGCTCTCTGTAAACAAGAATGTTGAAGGCATCGCTCCAAATCTCCCATTAAACATTATGAATGGTCTGACTGTAAGACTTTGGTTATCCATAATGATCTCTCGCTCGCTCTCCCTCCATCCCTTTCAAAAACACTGAACAAAGCATTGATGCAAACACTTTAACATTCCTGTGTACAAAAACAATTTTTTAATGCTGCTCATGTATGTATTTATGTGGGCAGTATTTACATGAGAGCACACTGGCCAGTCCGACAGTGTTGGAGTGCTTAAATGGTGTATTCACATGTTTGTGTTGGCAACAACACACACACACACGCAGTCTGAGAAAACAGCAATTCTCCCAGAAATCCAACGGATCGGCTAGATGCATGCTACTGCAACTTCTAAAAGTGGACAAATCTCAAAATAAAACATTAAAGCAACAATACGTATAATTCACAAGGTCAATAAATACTTAAAAGACTCATCCTGTCAAAACTGCCTCCATATGGAGTAGCAGAACTGCATGTACCCAAGGTTAGGTACAACATGAGCTGCACTGGCACACTTAAAGTCTCAAGCCTCGTGGTGTAAGAGTAGTGTTACTTCATCGGCTTTTCAGAAAAACCCTTCAGGGAAAGGTGTAATCGTAAGCTGAAATGAGACACGGTGGAACCGTTTGAGAAAATTTGCCAAAAACACGCAAAGCCAAAACAGCACAAACTGCAAAGCAGTTTAAAAAAAAGCAGTCAAGTGCAACGGCAGTCAAATTTTATTAAACAAAAACAAACAGAAAAAGCCTTGGTACATATAAACATCAGACAGAAGCACAGAAAACTTGAAATTCAGCTTTTTTTTAATCACTCACATAGCAAAGTGTCTCTAACCCTCTACACACTTACCTGGCATTTCCCTGCCAAAAGCTGATCCTGCATGCATGCACATATACTGTTGTTAATCTCTAAAGGAAAGTCTGTGCAGGACAAATACTTTTAATTTTTGTCCTAATTACATTCTGGAGATGATTTCTACTTTATATATTTATATATAAAAAAAGAATTCTCAGAGTATAGCTGAGAGGGTGGCAATAAAAAAACAAAAACAACAGCACTCACCCAAAGCTGGAGCGAAGTAGGACAAAAGCACTGCAGCAACACAAAGTTCCATCTTGTCTGAAAAAACAAGCGAGTGTGAGACACTGGGCTGTCTTCAATCCCTGCAAAACTCCACACACATACTTCAGTTCTTGTGGGAAGGTTTAGAAACCTGACTAATGAAGTCTCACTTCCCTTATATTACTAACTTGAGCATTTAAGTCCTGGAAGTCGTGGGTGACTTTTTGTTGGACATCAAGTGCTTTTTGTTGTATTATGTTTAAACAACAACACAGAATAAAATATAAAGGTGATTTAATTGAGCATTTCTGCATCTATGAGCTGCACAAAAAGATCTCTTTCAGTTCCCCAGCATGTTTCTCTCTCCTGTTGCCAAGAATGGCAAAAGGGCTCTATTTTTGGAGGACCACCTCAAAACGGTGGGATAAGGAGCCCAAGGGACATGGCTGTGGGGTGTGGTATTTCAGATGATATTTGGTAAGCGACTTACAGACGTAAGTGAGTGTTTTAGCTGTAACTCTCAAACGCATACCATTTAACTCCAATCTCAAAACCCATTTCAACTTAGATGCACAGCAATCGATCGCTTGGAAATCTCAGGTGGTCTCTAAATAACATCTTCGATTAAACTCATCGTGTACAAAAAAGACCACGGTAAAGTACAGTTGTTGCACAGATGTGTCACTACAACATTTCTCCACAGGATAAATAATGAAGAGGAGGAGGAGGAGTCGTCCCATACACTCTTTACAATTCTGGCACTAAGACACAGAAACCCCCTCCCCCCATTTAACCCAATTCCGCGAGATTTCACTGAATTACTTGGTGGCAGAAGCTTCTTTCTCCCCATTATCACAACTAATTTCATACTACAGTAAACCGACTACGCGATTAAAAACGTAAAACATGATGTGCAAAACAGCAAACACAAACAACTCAAGGAGCTGTAATGTGATATTGATGGTCACGTGCTCCAGCTGCCGATATAACCAGGACTGCATTCTTGCAAATGTTAAACAAAGAGCAACCAACAAATAAATAAAAAATGCATTCAAGTCTGCATGCATATAAACTGCACGTGATAAATCAATTGTTTTTTTTTTTTTGCAAAGATCGATTGGAACAACAG